ATGTAAAAGTACTTATTCATCACACGAATTACATGGGACATCTAATGCTATAGGAAAGTTATTTCCTGGTAAAACTTGAACAAGGAGAAAATAGAGGTGACAAAAATACACCTTACTCTTTGGGTATCTTCTCTGGCTTGATAAAGTCAAAAATAATGCAGAAACATTGACGTTCTAGTGGATTTAATCATCCTTATTAGCCCTACTGTCTGAACCAAATGTGCACTCCTACAGAGTTAGTAATCTGCCTTTGGTGTTGGTAGACATACACCTATGTACTTCCAGAACAACCTAGGGAAAATTGGATTAAACTTGAAGGGATGTTTAGCATTAAAAAGATTGGCAGCACCTAATATTTTGTTAAGATAAAACAAAAGCCTTTGTTCTGTTTTAAAATTCCTCTTCAAAAAATAGAGAACATCTGAAAAGAAATATCAGAATTGTATGTGCAAAGTGTTGGCAAAAGCATTGTGAGTCTTTTTTTCTAAGATTTTCTTGTGAAAGCATGGAAAGTAGACTGAATTGTATTTTCCAATGAAATTCTTACAGTAGAATATTTGCATCTACTGAGGAATAGATTTTCTGCATTACTGTGCAGATGTTATGATTTTGTTTTTAATCAGAGATATATAATCTTTCTAGACATGCTCTTCTCAAATTTGGCTAAAATGCTTCAATGTAATTGAAACTGAAAAATTCCCAATGATCTTTGAAATTCAGAAATACTAAAAATTAATTAGAATAATTTTGAGTGTCAATTAATGTCAGAGATCCTAATTAGTGGACGGACTTGGGCAGATTCTTCATTCTTTTCTAGTTATCTTTCCTTCTCAGCTTGTCTGAATAATTAGATCCTTTCTATAACATAATCTGAATTTTTAAGATCCATCTTTCTTTTAGTCAAATAATCACATAGTTTAACAGTAATTTTAAGTCAAATTTTTTGTAGGTAAAGCCATCTTGATAAACATTGTTTTGTTTAGTAAAAAAAGTGGTATTGCTTCAGCCAGAATCACAAGTGTTTGAGATAAAGTTTTCTCTGCGAGTCTTTATATTTTTCTCATATAATATGAATATTGAACTAATACAACTTATTGAATATGGTTACTTTTTGCATGACTTCTGCTTCCTTGGCATTGTTCTTTGTCTTTTCTTTGTGCTTTGCTTCTTGGTTTCCTTTTCTTCTCCTAGAGGAGAAGCTCCTCCTTTCATAATGAAAACTAGTTTGAAAAGCTATGACATTCAGTAAAAGTCTTTCTATACCTCAGTGGAATTTGAGAAGGTCTCCTGCAGGGAGCAGAAGAGTGGGGTTGCAATGGGAGGCTTGGCACATGATTCCTTTGGAATCTCTTCCAAGGTCTTCTGTTTCTCTAGAATCATGGCCACACTACAACAAGCAAGGAAACATCTTTTTCTGGCAAATTAAACATACAGAGTCTGCAAAAAGAGACCTTGCAACTTCTGTTTGTTGGGAAGAAAGAGTGTAAAGCATCAATTACACTAACCCTTAAACATCTAGAATAAAGCAATGAACGTGTTCATCAGTCAGTGTTACATAGGATCACTGAGACTGATATGTGCTGCAGCTTCATCTTCAAGAGCAAGAGGACTTTACATTAATATAAACTGATGCAGAATATGTACTGGAGAGTTGAAGGGAAAAAATATTGGCTGCAAATCCCTGTAAAAAGACAGAACTCCTCTCCATCCTCTTGCACTTCCTCAAAAGAGTCATCTAGGTCAGTACTGGTTTGGGATCTTACACTGGGACCTGGAAGGCAGCTATGGAAGTTAATTCTCCTGACTCTCCTATAGGCTCTGAGGAGTCCTTTATACCAACCCAGCTGTTGGCTGTACACCTGCAGGTGGGTGCTCTTTGCTGCCCCTGTACTGCTTGGAGACAGCTAATGGGAAGAGCTGAAACTCTGAATTATGTGCACAGGAAGGAGAGGACAGGGCTAAGGCACTCAAGTCATTGTGAGCTGCCAAAGCACTCTCTTGCTCTTTTCACTTCCTCCAGACTTGAACTGCCCAACAGTATAAGCAAAAATTTTACTTAATATGTTACTGTTACATGTAACTTGTTAAGGCATCTAGACAAATATTTAACTCTCATATGACAGCTAACTTACATTCGCCAAGTTTCTTGATGTCCTCTGGTTGGAGATGTACTAATCTTCAAATACATTCCTAAAGAAAATTACTAAGCCATCAGATTTGATTGATCAAAGCTATTACTTTTATCTAAGAAAACCTGATTAAAAAAACTTTTTTACTCTTCTTCACATTGTGTGTTTCTGACTTCACTCTGTTGTCCCCAAGCCCATTTATTTTTATATTGTGAAATTGTTGTTGACTTGCAGGAAAAGTGAATACAAACATTGTTCATCCCTCTTAACCTGATCCATTTTTATTCTTCCAAATCTTCTTCTTCAATTGATTTTGCATGTCTCTGTCGTTCTTGGTTTGTCATGGATTTTTTTGGGGTTTTTTTTTTTTTGGTTTGCTTGTCTTTTACTAGGGAAGGAATTTGAAGCCTGGTCACAGGTTTCACTTTGGAAAGTCTTAGGCATGTGCTGGTGGCTGATGAATCTACTTCCAATGTCCACAGTTCAATGCCAGCCCTGCAATGTGAAAATACAACTTCCTTTCCCAAGTGAATGAGTGCCATGATTTAAACATCACCCAGTTTTGCTGAGCACACTGCAGGATTTTGGCAGCTGGGGATAAACAGGTAACAGATTTACAACTAAAGTTATTACGTGGGTACAATTAATTTGCCCCCTTTATAAAGTAGCTCCTGTTTTTACTGCCTGATAGAAACCACTTTTGGTTGTTTCTATCTCAAAAGTCATCTGGACATGATCCTGGGCAACTGTCTCCAGGTGGCTTAGGAATGTGGGGTTGGATCAGATCGCTTCCTGAGGTCCTTTCCCACCTCAGCTGTCCTGGGGTTCTGTGAAAATGTGGACATATCCTACAGTTTGGCTGGAATGTTCAGCTGTGAGAGACTCTTTCACAAATGTTTTCTCTTAACCTTTTGCTTAATCTCTTTAACACATTCAAACAAAGTGTTTGAAACACTTTGCAATTATTGGGTCTGTAGCAATGGAAGTCTAATGTTGTTGATTATGTGGGAGCCATTAGGCCTTTCCATACTGGTAGAGCCATATTCAATTATTTTACTTTATGAATTATTAGACAGAAATTAATACCTTTATTTTAAATGCTACATTTAAACTAAGTGGGACATATCCCTCCTTGCATTGTGTAGTGACAATTTTTTATATTGTGATCCTGTATCTATTATGGATAATTTATCTTTCATGGATGGCTGCCCCTTTTTTTTCTGTAAATGCTTTTACCTCCAAACTCACTGTGTATACACTGAAAGTGCTGAAAGTACATAGCTAAGGAATTTACTAACAGAAAAAGAAAAATAACTAATTGCATTTCAATGTACTTATTGGACTGTTGACTGCAAAGGTAAGTAACTTTTGTAGCCACCGCTGAAAAAAAAAAAAAAAAGAATACTTTTCTGCCAAAGTGAATGTTTGATTTGTATTACTTTTTGAGAAGATGCCAGTCAGTTTGCTGCTGTGGCCTTTAGAGGCGTTGGGTGTGCTGGCCAACGCATTGACCTGTGTGTGAGCTGTGTGTAGAGCAACAGTGAAATTGAACGGCTGCCCAGGTCCGTGGCAAAATCCCCCTTGGCTTCCATGGATGCATGTCTCTCACATGGTGAGTACTTAGGCAATCTCTAGTTGAAGTCAATAGTTTGTGAAGCCTTTGGGAATGGCCTGAGCAAAGTCAGGTCAACCTTGTGGTTGTGACTGAGCTGTGCCAGGAAGATGGTAGGGATGCAGGGAGAAAGAACCCATGTGCCAAGGATGGGATCCAGCATGGTCATATAGGGTCTCTTGCCATGACTGGCCTCCTGCCGGCTCTGGTGGCAGGGCCACATCAGGAGTCTTGGCAGACCCTACTGCTATGGCCGCTTGTCTTGGTCCTTGTGGCACAGCTGTTGCCTGCCCTCACAGGGGATTGGCTCTGCTTGCATCTTGTGTCCATCAGAAACCATCTGTCATCAAGGAAGAGCACGAACTGCGTTAGCAGACACGGAGACGGCTGGTAGACAGAGCTTGCGAGGTGTCTTCCATCACACCTCAGAGCCTTCCAGCACCATGGGCGTGGCAATGCCACGCTCCCAGATGGCATCACCAGAGGGGTCCCGTGCCCCGGCCCTGCCCTGTGTCCCTTCTGGCCCAGGCCCAGGGATCGCACCCGGCCCGGCCCCACCATGGCGCCAAGGTGTGTGAGCCCCGCCCCCAGGAGCATGGCCAATGGGGAGCCTTCCCGCCAGGCCTCGCCTCGCCCCAGGGGCCAGCGGGGTGGGCGGGGCTGCCAGGATGCAGCAGATGCAAATAAGGCTCCACCCACCACCTCATGCGGCCCAGTGCTGGGTGTCACGTGGCAACCTCGTGTGATGGGCGGGTGCAATCAGGCTCCTCCCCGTGGTGACGTCACGGCTCTCGCGAGAGTACTCAGTTCTGCCTCCTAGAGGTGTGAAGGGGCGCAGGTGAACTCCAGGCTGGGCCACGCCCCACCTCTAGCCCCGCCTCTAGCCCCGCCCACTCCATCTGGAGAACCAATGGGAGCGCTGGTTGAGTCTTTCCCCATTGGCTGGCTGCCTGCCATGCAAATGAGCCTGGACGTCACTTCCTCCGCTAGATCAAGCGCCATTTTCTCTTTCTGGCGGTCGATGCGGCGCGGGTAGTGCGCGGGCGGCGGCCGCTGAGGGAGGCGGGCGCGGGGCGAGGCGCGTGCGGAGCCCCGTCCATGGCGCCGCGGCCCCGGGGCGCGCGCTGAGGGCGGCGGCGGCGCAGGGCCGGGAGGCGGCGCCGCGGGAGCGGTGGCACCGGGCAGCGCCGGCGGCAGCGCCGGGGGCAGAGCCGCAGCCGTGAGCGGCGGGTGGCGGCGGTGCGGGTCCGCGGCGGGCGGCGGCGGCCGCAGGAGGAGGAGGAGCGGGAGCGAGAGCCAGGAGGAGGAGCAGCAGCGGCGGGGGCTCCCCCTGCAGCCCGGCCGGGTACGTGCGGCGGGGCGGGGCGGAGGGCGGCGGACGCCCCGGTGGCTGCGCGGTTTCGGCTCGGCGGGCGCTGTGGGCTCGGAGCGGCTTCCCCGATGGCGCAGGGAGGGACGGGTCGGGTCCGGCGGGCGAGGCGCTGTACGCGGGGATGCTTCCCCCGCTGCCGCGGGCTGGGAGCGGCTCGGTATCACCGCCCGTCCTGCGTGTTGGGTGTTTAATTCCAGGTAGCACTTCAGCGATGGAGTGTCTAAGAACCCAGCTTAATAGCTTGCTTTGAAGTCTGGATGAATAATTTTAATTGCTTTTAATGAATTGTTTTGGTTTGAAGCAGTTTGTGGCAAACTGTAGGGGAGATAGGAGTGCCATGCGTACAGAACCAGCACTTCATCACCGGCTAATGGAACCAGTTAATGGGACTCAAAATTACGTCGAATATCCATGTGGTTCCTCACGCCACAGCAATGCATACATTTAGAAAGAAAGTTTATGAATGGTGTAAACAAACACAACCCACACAATGCAAGCCGTGAAAACCAATTGAATGGGCTTGCTTTGTGGTCGAGAGCAGGTAATGGGGAGTTCCAGTTGTCCTGGTTTGTGAACGGAATAAAAGACATGTGTGTAATTCCTGCAGCGGTTCAGAGTCCTGGATTGTCAAAGTTATGAACAGCTCACTTCCAGCAGATAAAGTTTTGATGGGTTAATTACTTGGGAGGATTTGCTTGTTGTCCTCAACACTTTTCTGTCAACCAAAAATGTGTGTTTGTTAAAAACAGTTTTAAAGAGCTACAATGAAACACTTAAAAAGACTCCTGGGATATTGAACTATATTCTAGAAATCCTAGTGCTCCTTTTAATAAACTTTCTCTTTAATTTTGATTTAAAAAATGGAGTTTCTTTAGCACAATATTTAGGAACTGGGTAAGAAATAAAGAATATGATAACCTGTAATAAGGTTTATTATAATTTATAGTGTATATGATAAGCTGTAATAATTTCTGTGGTTTGTTTCACGGAGGTTTTGTGAAAAACAGCATCCCTCACAAATTACAGCAGATCTTTAGAAACAAAGTTTTGTTATGCCTTCTGTTTTTCCATTGGGAATTCCTGGATTTGGGCTAAATCTTACTGAGTGCTGGTGGAGCTGGTTTGTGTTTAAACACTTTAGTCCTTCTTCTGAAGCCTGTTGCACAGCCCTGGGGGTGATTTCAGTTCTGTCCCCTTTCTGACTTGTTAAGGTTTTGGATTGTCTGTGTTGTGGACTGTTGTGTGCGTTTGTAAAGTGCAAAGTCTTGGGGTCACACCTAGCTGACAAGTGCAGCATAAATGCAGTGTTACTTCCTCCTGGAATAGCTGCATTCAGGGTGTGACTCTTCTGCTCACATGCACGTGGAACTGACAAATCCTGCAGGATTTGAGTGGGCTCCATGCAGATGCTTCTGTTACCTAGGATGAGCTTGGATCCTGCTGTGTTCAGGTTCTGGCCAGTGCCCAGAAGGGACTTCATGGGAGTCAAGTATTATGTGAATTAGTGCTTTAGGTAGGCTCCATGAGTCTGAATGGTAGTGTCCCTTCATGGTAGTGTCCCTTAGCCTCTTCTCACCAGTCTTGAATAGCAGGGATTTGGTTGTGTGTTAGTGAACCATCACAATAGTTATTTAAACCACAGTAGCTGTAGCTAGTGATCTAAATTTGCTTTGATGTGTTAGGTAGGATGCAGGTTGTTGTGCTGCATCTCAATCTATGCCATCACATATCTTACTCCTCTTCATTGTGTGTTAGCAGCTGTTGAATGATGGTCATCTTTGTGTTGGGCAAGGTGACCTTTTCAACAGGCATGTGATTTATAGCCTGAAAAGACCAGAATTCTTGTGACTCTTAAGAGACCTATGATTTGAAATGCCCAGAGGTTTCTGATATAGCTGGACAAAGAAGAGTTAATTTTTTTTCTTATTTCAGATTTCTATTAAGTTGCCCTTGGATAGAAATCTGAATATAAGAAGATAAAGAGAAACTACTTTGGTGACCAGAACTGCTCTTTGTGTGTTTTATTAGAAGATATTTTAAATTACAAATTATTTAAACAATGAACAAGAATAGCATCCATTCTATTTAGTCAACTTTTTCCTTAGGAAGCTTTCTTCCCTCTCCCTCCATAGGTTGGATAAGCTTTGGTGGTGCTGATGCACTTGTAAATCCTGTTAGGTCTCTTTCAGAAGGCAGAGATAAGAGTCCAGGAAATGAAGCTGACCATGTAATGTGTGGTTGAGCAGGTACCCAGGTGTGACCTCTCAGAGGATATGTAAGCGTACCAGAAACAAAAGAAAATTGATGAGGGTAAAATCTGGTACGGCCAAGCCAAACTCTCATTCTTGTAGGCAGTTTCTTAGTGCGCCTGTCCTCCCAGCTGCTCTCTGCCATCCGGTGTTCTTGTTCCCTGGGTTCTTGAAAACAGATCACATGCTTTTGTTCTACTATCAGGAATGAAGCAGTTTCTATTGTTTTCTGAACGAATATGAATTGTCAGCTTCTAATGAGTTTACTGTAATGGAAATAATTTGTGGGGAGCTGGGAGGCATTCCCTGGGTTGGGTAGGCACAAGAGGCTTCCCTCAGAGGCTATTGGGACACCTTTGGCTCCTTCTGTGTCCCTCAGGCACTCCCTCCCTCTTCCCGGCCATCATCTTTGAGCTGCCTGAGAGCATGCTTCAGCCCCAGCTCTGGGGAGAGGAGAGACCGGCGCTCTTCTCACGAGTGTGCCTTGCACCCTGAACATCCCACCATGCAGCTGAACGAAACATGTCTGGACACCATGCAAACGCCCTTTTTACTTCCTTACCCTGGACTTTACTTGCAGTATTCTGGCTGCAATGTAATTTTTTATTGGTGCTTGTCAGTTCTGATGACTGCTGAAATACAAGTTGGTAAACAGACCTTCCAAAATACTCCAACCCAATTGATCCAAACCTGTATATTTTTATAGAGGCCGTATAAAAGACACAAACCTTTTAAAAAGACCAGAGAGATTTCAAAAATCTCTTTCTCAGTTACTAATGACAGTTACTAGATAAAAGTTACAAAAATTTAAGAGTTATTTAATTTTCAAGGCAGATACTATGAGAGAACAAAGTTCTATTAGTCTTTCATAATTTCCTGCTCAAAGAAGTTCTTTGAGCAACAGGCAAGTGAAGGCCAACCACTTCGGAACACATCTGGAGATTTTGCTTCTGTACAGATTTTCTGGTGTCTAAAAGGGTTACATTATGGCTGTTTTCGCTGTGGATCTTCTGACATTCCTCTTTTCCTGAAAACTCTAGAAATGTCTCATTATTTAGTTGACTGGATTTTGCTGGAAGCATTTGCATGCCCATTGAAAGCACATATGTGTATCTTCCTTTTTGCCAGCTCCATACCAACTCCATTTTCATTTGCTTGCAGATGCCTACTTCCTGTAGGAACACAAGCAAAAGTGGTGCAGATTTCATGTAAGAAGCAAAGCTCTCTAAGTGAGCACAGTCTGTCCCTGGAGGAGGTTGCCCAGAGAGGCTGCCCAAGCAGAGTGCCCTGCCTGCAATGAATGGTTGAGCTGCTTATAGGAAGCTGGACTGGGTGTCCTCTCGAGGTTCCTCCCAAGGGAAATGAGATTGGTTCTAAGAAGTAAAATGAGTAGGAACTCGGCATTTTGTGATGACTGCTCATTTTGAAGAGGTGCAGTGTTATTGTTTTTCTCTTTTTTTTTGTAATGCAGAGAAATGATAGTAAAAGGTAGTTGCTTTGAAAACTGGTGTCTTTGTCTACCAAGATATTGTGCAGACTGTTACTTTGGCTTTTAGGCTAGACTTGAAATACTGCAATAGTGCTGGAAGCGGGAAGAGTTGAAATTGTGATCTTTGAAAAGTCAAATGTAGTTAATTGGGTGTTACAATCTATGGTCACAAATGCAGAAATGAAACAAACCCATAGTGTTGAATAAAGCTACATTGTGTATCATTATGGAGATGTTATCTAAAAAAGCAACAAATAGGAATAGCTTGATGGCTGAAATGCCTGAGCAAGAGTTGAATAGAGCAGGAGTTGGATAGCCTTAGAACAGAATTTGAGACACCAGCTGCTACAGTTATTCCTTTATTTTGCTAAAAACTTGCCTTGGTTCTGTTTAGGAAGTTACACTAGTCTGAAAACTCAGTGGATTATTAGTTTTTTTGGAAACAATTAAAAGCTGTGAAGAATAAATTTTTGTCTTTTAGACAGGCAGTGCAGTGAAATGATAAAGACTCTTGGTAACCCTCGTTCAGTTTAACTGTAGTCCTTTTGTGTTGAATTTGCTGATTAAGAATGGAATGTGGACCAACAAATTCATGGAACCAAAGTGCAAACTAAAGCCTGAGGAATGTCCAAAATATAAGAAAAAAAATTGTTAGTATGAAAATGTGGAATATAAACTGCATAATAATAAAGGAATTAAACGGAGGACTTGAGGAAATAAGCTTAGAAGGTTGATCTTCTGTGACCTTTATGGTGGGGCAGTGCTGATCTAATGGATAGAGAGACTCCAAGAGGATGGTAAATTTAGGTTGAATATTAGGAAGAAATTCCTAACTTTGAGCATGGTGAGGCACTGGCAGAAGTTTTCCAGAGCAGCTGTGGATGCCCCATCCCTGGAAATGTTCTAGACCAGGTTGGATGGGACTTTGAGCAGCTTGGTCTAGGGGAAGGTGTCCCTGCCCATGGGAGTGGGTCTGGAGCTAGATGATCTTTAAGATCCATTCCAACCCATGGCGTTCTGTGATTCTGGTGTGAGATCCTTTAAGATCCTTACTTCCAAGAACATTGTTCCAGTACCTACTGAATAACACTGCATGTGATTGCACATGGTGGCCTTTGGATTGAAGACCAACTGTTTGAAAACTGGAACATAATTTATATTCAAGTTTTTTCTGTTATGGTGGAGGTTTTGGTGTATTTTTCTTTCTCATGGATTAATAATTTAAGGATAACTAATAATTTTATTTCATTTTCTTCTGCATTAATAATTTCAGAATGATTGCTGGTTAAGAACTCTTGAGGTACATGGATGTTGTGTACTACACCCCTATTGACTGTTTCTTATTTGTGAGCTAGACATGCCTCAACAAATGCCTGCATCACCTTTTTCAGTAGCATCAGTGTATGAGTTGGAAGACTGAGATGGGGAAACTGTTTCCACTGGAGCCCGATGTATTGAACCATATTTCCTCTGGCTGATCAGCACTGGGCAGGGTGGTGTCCAGTAGCTCTGTTGTTATCCCCACTGGATCGTGGGCTTGGTGTGCCTAACCAACTGGTGTTCAAGCTTTAAGTAGGGACTCTGCAAATTCCTGGTGACTTCACTTTTAAAAGAGTATTTTGTGTCAAATTTTTGTTCATTGCATTTTGAGAAAATACCTGACCAGTTACTCTGATTTATTCCTTTCTGTATAGGTTCCTGTGATACACCTACCCCAATGGTATCAGCATGTCTTCTGGGCTTGGTGATAAAAAACATTAGAAAACAAGACTAGCATCTGTCAAATGGGGTTCCCTCTCCATTTCTCTCTACACACTTTTCCTTTCAGGGGAGAAGAAGCGAAGAATAGTATGTGAGTTTGTTGAATTTTAATCATTCAATTATATGTTTTGTACATAAATTGAGGTTTGGGGTGGTTACATACAGACTGGAACATTTTTTATATTGTTTTGGGGACTTTTTGAGGCTTAGCTTGTAGCTGGTGTCTTATATGCAGGGGGATTTTGCAACTATTTGCATGAAAGTCTTCTTCAAAGTAGAGCTTTCATGTTGGCAGAGAGCTTGTTCTTTTGGTAAAAGTACAGCTTTTCAAGACATTTGAGACTGTATGTGCTGAAGGACTGTTTGGAGATTTCCTCTATTTCTAATTTTTTTTCTTTTTCCTGTTCAGGCGTGTCCTAGATGGATGAATTGTTTAGCAGTAAGAACTAGGATGCAAATGCTCCTGGATCCTCTGTCAGCTATTTAAGCACCAGCTACTGGAGAAGCTTCCAGTGACCTTTTTCAGTGCAAGCTTAGGGTTAGGCTTTGCATTCTGTGTCCATTGTAGTTTCTTAAAGTTCAGTCTAAATTGCATCTTGCTGTAATCTAAGAAGGAGTTGACAAAGGCTGAGCTTTTTTTTTTACTTCTACAGCTGAGCCTGTGGAGATACCTTACAAGTTTACAAAAGTAGAAGTGTTTGGAGGAAATCTAGATTTACTAGCATTCATATTTTAAGCATGTACATGGTTGACAGCAAACAAAAATATCAAAAAGATTTCTCATCTTGATGCTAACATTTAAGGTGAAAGGTGTGGAATTTCTCCTTAAGTGATATGATTGTAATTTTCTGAATAGAACTTAATAAAATTTTGGTGTTCATGTTCTTTTACGAAAACCCTACAAAACTATGTTCCTGCCATGTAGATACAAGGAGATCTGAAAGAAAAATTTGGAATTTTCTGTAGATAGAAGAAATGTAAAAATTCCCTCCCCCCCTTACATTCTGTTTCCTTTAAAATCAGTCAGCTTTTCTACTTGGGAAATGCTAGTGACCCCACTTCCTTGGCTTAAGGATTTTGGGTTTTCATATTTAAGAAATGGTGTCCTGGCCCATATCAGCAGGAGTGTGTCCATCAGGACTGGGGCAGTGATCAACCCTGTACTTGGCACTGGTGAGGCCTCACCTCAGGTGCTGTGTCTAGTTTTCTGTTCCTCAGTACAGGAAAGACATGGAGGAGCAGGAGTGAGTTCAGAGAAGGGCAGTGAGTGTGGGGAAGGGTCTGGAGCACATGTGCAGTGAGGAATGGCTGAGGCAGCTGGGGGTGTTCAGCCTGGAGCAAAGGAGGCTCAGAGACCTTATTGCTCTCCAGCTGAAAGGAAGCTGTAGCCAGGTGGGTGGGGGTCAGTCTCTTCCCCCAAGTAACAAGTGACAGGAGAAGAGCCAAGTTGCACCAGGGAAGGTTTAAATTGGATATTAGGAAAAACTTCTTCAGAAAAAGGGTTGCCAAGCACTAGAATGGGCTGGCAAGGGAAATAGTTCAGTTCCATTCCTGGAGGTATTTGAAGGACACATAGGTGTAGTGATGAGAGGCATGGGTAATGACTGTGGTGGGTTAATGTTTGAACTTAATGATCTTAGACATATTTTCTAACCTAAATATTTCTATTCTCTGACTTTTCAGATTTTAGTTTGTATTTTAACACACTTGAATGCAAGTACCTGTGTTGAAATATTTAGTCTGTTTTTCCATGCCTTATTATTTTTCCTTTTTTTTTTTTTCTTTTTTTCTTTATTTTTTGGTTATTGTGTTGGTTTTTTTTTTCCCCAGGAAAAGTGCAAAATGTTTCAAATTCCTGTTCAAAACCTTGATAATGTAAGGAAGGCTCGAAAAAAGGTGAAGGACATTCTTGTGGATCTTGGGCTTGACAGCTGCAGGGAATTGTTGAAGGTAAAGTATTTGAAAGAATGTAAATAAATCTGAAATGTAAACTCCTGACAAATATTTCACCTTCTGGTGTATATATGATAGATTTTTTGGAGGGGTCCTTACATTTGGGGTTACTTATTACTGACTGTTCATACCCAGGGCAGGAATTCAGTGTCTTTAGCAATGCAAGAGTGTGTGTTTCTTAGCAAGATGTGTCATAGATGGTGCCTCATATTCTGTTATTAATGTTTCCACAAAAAGAAATAGTACAGCTTTAGGAAAAAATACCATAGACTAATGAATTTTTATTTGTGTGCAGTGCAATTCCAATTCTTTTAAGATTTCAAACAGATGTGGACTTGAGCCCCCTCAAAGACATCCCATCTCCTATCAAGGGCAAGCTTCTGAAGAGACGTACAAATCATCTGCATTTCTGAAAATGGATAAGCTTTTAAACTTTGTGTCTGGTGAAAAATACCAAAATTATCTCATTGAGTTGTAGTTTGGTTCTGTATCTTAAAAAGTATATGCAGGTGTACTGGGTGATTAAGATAAACCTTGTACCACTGTTGCCACTTGGAGAAGAAAATTTTGTGCATCAGTCAGGCAGAATGCATGCCATCAGATTGGCAGCCCAGTGCCAGAAAAAGTGCAAACACAGCAATGTAACTCAATTTCTTAACAATAGTGTATTTCAGTGAGCTGGTGCACAGGCTTTTTTGACTGTTGAGTAGATTCATGCCTTAGTGTTGACAAGAGGTTGATTGCTTCTGTATGGCAGTACTAAAGTAGGTATAACACTCTGTGAGGGTGCTGTTGTGTCTTTTGTGCTGGTTTCTTTCTGAAACTCTTGTTAGTTAATGGAAAAAATGTTCAAGACCACACGCATAACTGATTTTAGAACATTCTTTGTTATTGCAATTGAACAGTTTTGCATGTATCTAAATGTGATAATAGCTCAAAGAAAAACATAATGTCTACTAATTTTCATTTACTTACTGTTTTTAATTTGTTAATATTCTGCAATCACACTTTCACTCAAGAGCTGAGTCTGTCTTGATCATTGAAAGCAGGAATGTTTTGATGGTGACAGGTTTTTACTATGAAATTGCTTGCAGTCTCTTTGATTGTTGCATGGACTTCAATGGTAAATAAGGAATAAGTTGTTTTGTATTTGGTTGGGTTTTTGGGGGTACGTATAATGTGTGTTTAGTTGGTTTCGCTTCATTTTTTAGTAAAAAATGGTAGTGGGAAACCCAGCAAAGGTTTCCACTGTAGAAAGACCTCTATGAGATTTGGGCCAAAAAATACCGTATTAGGTTGGTTTTTTTGGCGAATAGTTCTTCCTGAACCAAGTTCATAACTTTAGTTTGTTTTTCCCGGGTAATCTGGGGCTGGTTTTGGTACAGCTTTAGCAGTGTAGCTGGATCTGTACTTGGTTCATATGATGATGGTATTTCTTTTTGGTAGCATGGGATGTATGAGGTTTTAATAAAAGTTAGAATCGTAGACAAGCCTGAGTTTGAAGGCACCTTGAAAACCATCTAGTGAGAAGTACCTAAAGTTTGTTTTCTCAGATATTGAGATTGATTTCTGGACTCTTTATGGCTGGACAATGTAAGAAATGGATTGAAATATGATATGCTACTAACATGACCTGAATCTGGTCTTGCGCTGTTGTAATAAGGCACAATAATGGACAGGAGTTGGTGAGGAAGATGAAGGAATGTAATGTATGACTAGTACCTCTCTGTAGCTTAGAGACCAAAAGGATTAGTTTTTAGGCTAATTGATCTCTGCTAGTAAGAAAACACGAGCATTTTGGCTCGAGTACTAGTTTGGTTCTTCAAGCAGTGTGTTTACATACACTGTAAGGTCAGAGGTTTTCCTTTAATAAACTGTCTCAGCTTCTCTAATATGCTGTGATCTTTAGGGCCATGAGGGTGATTGGAGGGCTGGAGCACTTCTGCTCTGAAGCTGGAGACATGCTGAGAGAGCTGGGGTTTTCAGCCTGGAGAAGAGAAGGCTGACTTCCTTGCAGCCCCCCTGAAGGGGGCTCCTAAAAAAGAGGGAGAGGGACTTTTGATACAGACAGATAAGGACAGGAGAAGGGGCAGCAATGTTTTAAACTGAAAGAGTATAGGTTTAGATTAGAGGTTAGGAAGAAATTCTTTATTCAGAGGGGGCAGAGGCACTGGCATAGGTTGCCCAGAGGAGCTGTGGATGCCCCATCCCTGGCAGCGTTTAAGGCCAGGTTGGATGTAGCCCTGGGCAACCTGATTTAGTGAGTGGCATCCTTGCCCATGATGGGGAGGCTGGAACTAGATGATATATAGGGTCCTTTCCTGTGGGATTCACATTCTCTGAACCTGAGAGAACAGTGAGAGAAGCAGAGAAAAGAATGATCAAACAATTCTTATCTATTCACTGCACCTGTGTTGTGCCAAAGGAGAATGCAATGTGGAGATTGTTTACCCAAAGTGAGGGTTCTTTGCTTCCTTGGCCTATCAGGGGCCAAGTGCATGTGCAGACTGTTGGTCAGCAGACAGTCACAAAATTCTGTGCAGTTGAGTGCTTGTTTCAGTTTTTTAGATGTCATGTAATATAGTGTAATATAGTACAGAATAATATAGTATGATAATTAATTTGCCTTCTTTGCTCTTCCTACAATAATGCCTCTGACCTGTTCTTGTGTCATTCTCAGTGCAAGAGTGGCACTTTCCAACACAAACCCATTCCATGATTCTGTTCTATGATTCTGTGTCTTCATTTAAACTCTCAGCTTTTTATTGTTTTGTTAAAGAAAACCATGATAGTTTTAATACAGAGGGGAGAACAGTTCTTATTTTAAAAATGTTTTCTCTTCAACTTAAGAATACCTATTATGCATAAGGATTAGTCAGGCTTCTCAGAGGGCTTTGTTCCTTTCTTGTTACCTTTCCCTTCTCCTGTTTTCGTCCCCTCCTGGAAGTGAGAAATGTGGAACTGTCATAACTAATTAATGGATTTTTGTTTAAAGCAATTGTTCAGAGCAGCCTTTTGCCCCACTGACGAGTTCTATTGATAAGAATGGTTATTTTTATTAGTAGATGTTCCTCTGTAGGAAATAGCCATTTCAGCAAAATTCTCTAGTCATATTTCCTGTGTTTGGCTTGTCGGAATCTGGGGTTTAAGTGTAGGAGACTCTCACTCAAACCAAAAGCAGAACATGTTTCAGATAAGCCATAAACTTTAAGAAAATTTTTTTTAGCAGTGTGTGATTCACTGCAGTGTGTTCAGCTGAAGAAGTTTTAGTAAGTCTCAAGTCTTCATTTTCTCCATCAAAAATAGTTCACTAAAATTCTGGGTTTTCTCTTGTTGCATGCAAGGGTTCTTTCTAAGGTTCCTGGGTTTTTTGTGGTTTGTATTTTTTTTGTTTCTTCAGTTGGTTTTTCTGAGTTTTTTTTTTGTTGTTGTTGTTGTGGTTTTGGCTGGTTGTTTTTTTGGGTTTTTTTTGTTGGTTGGTTGGTTGAGGGGCAAATACATGACTCATTTAGTGTCTAGGATTGATTAAATTGCAGGGAATTTGTTTATTGTTGCCCTGAGCTTTTCTGGTTTCTCTTTGAGCATACTTGACATTTGCAAACTCAGCTGCTGCATTTTTCTAAATTCTTGAATAATGAAGTTAAAATCAAATTATCATTGGCATGGTGTTCTGGCTTACTCTAATCTGCTGAACACGTAGGAATGCTCATATTTGCATGCTGCAAATGGACAGGAGCCTAGTGCAGACAGAGCCTGCCTTAAGTAGGATTCCGTGGGGTTTTTTTGATTGTTGAAGCTTTGTTGCTCCTTGTTGCTGACTATATTCTGTGTTGCTGCTAAATTTCACGTAACACAAACTATTAGGTTTATGAATTCCACTCCTTTTGTAAGGTCATCTGATCTTAAATGTTATTTGTTATCTGCCTCTGCTGTTGAGTGGGGATTGGTGAAGAAGTGGAAATCATGCCATCTCTAAGTATCTGTGGAGTTTTGAGTGAAGAGGGATTTGTGAAAAGAAAGAATGTGAGGGGAGAAAAGATGCAAGTTTTCTATGGGTAAAGACTGGATTTGTATCCTGTGTTTCATCCAGGGCATTCTGGGTGTGCTGTTGAATCTAGGTTAGGGTCTTCAGAAATGCCTAGTAAATTGGAATCTAGCTTGAGTTTTTTGGAGGTTTCTTTTTGGTTTTGGTGTTGTTTTTTTTTTTCTCCCATTAAGTTTGTGTTTAAATATGTGTGCGTCTCAGAAATGTGGAGATGAACTTATTATTTTTAGGATAGTAGCTGGCATTGGCTTGAGGGATGTGAACTGCTCTGATGGGATTAATTAAAAAAGGCTCTAAGGACAGTTGCTTTCCCTGCCACAGTTGTTGTAGACACAGTAATATTGTGCTTTTGTAGCTTCGGGGAAAGCAGCTCTTGGAAATCAGCTTTTGTGAATGTCTTTTGTTTTTCCAAGTTTGAAGTGTAACAATGTTATGCAGATTTAATACTACAACCTGTTGCAGAGTAAACTGTAGTGGTAAGTTAATAAAGCAATGAAGTAAGCCGTGAAATATTACCAGTGAAGGAGGAGGAAGGTAGAGAGGAAAAATGCTTTAAATGTTCACTGTGAACTTGGCTGGAAGCAGTGGAATTCAAGTGTAAATATTTTCACTCCCAATATTATTTTCAGTAACTATGAAATATTCAGAATTCCTACTTTGTTATTAGGCAGTCACATGAACAAATATTTGAGGTAAAAGAAATCAAAGCTGGTCAAAGAAGTAATTTCTTTGAATGGCGTTTAGAGACTTCCAAGTCATCCTCTATTTGTGTGGGTTTTTCTTTTTTATTTTTCCTTATTTCCTATTGAGAATTTCTTTATATTCAGAACTGCAAATGCCTCATTTTCATTTCTTGTTTTTATTTTACTTTTAGAATCTTAAAAGTTTTGATGCAGGTGAAAACTACTTTTGTAACACTTCATGGAGTGATGTCTCTCCTTGGGAACCTGTGGGCAAAAGGAAGGTATGTATGTTCGTGACACAAATTCTGGATAAATGTGTTGTGTGGAGTTACTGATTTGACAATTTTCAGAAATTGGAATGCAGCTTTTTTATGGAAAAAATAGCTTTATTATGTGTTTTCTAAGTGCTATTAGTCAGGGAATAATCTTACATTTCCGCTTTGTTTTTTCCCTGTAATAGAGATGGTTATGAGGACTTCAGTTACCATTTGTAGTCTTTAAGGATACAACCCTGAACATCAGTGTTTAAGATGTCACAGAAATATTTTGCCTTTTTAGCCTAACATAATATGTAGTCTTAGCATGTACAACATGACTCCTGTTTCATTGGAAGGGTGAAAATGTGATTGCATAGATGCAGGTGGATTAAGATGAAATTATTATTAATGGCTTGGTCTGGGGTGGCAGTGGAAAACTCCAGTTATATTCGTGTATGTGAAACAGCTTTTAGCTCTGTATAGCTAGACTCCACAAGAAAGGCAGGGTTGAGGTGAACAATTCTATAATTGTATGTAGTAGCAAGTTTCTGAGATGCTGTGTCTAGAGCAGTTGAGTGTATTGGAATATGTATCCCAGTATAACCAGTTAGATGGTGCCTAGGCCAATTCTGACCTTCACTGCTGGGCCAGAGGCAGCACTGCGGTGTTTTACCCCAGAGATACCTTGGCTGGCGGCAGAGTGCAGCGGGGCACAAGACAGGACTC